GATCCCTGCCACCTCCCAGTGGTGCCAGGGCCTTGTTCCCCTCCTCTTTAAGATGAACAAGGAAGCCAATGATGCCTTGTCCTCACATTTTTGTTTCTCAATTCTCTCTCCATCTGTTCCTAGAATTTAACTTTATCTCCTTGGTTTTGAACTTTAAGTCTGTTCATCAAAAGTTAAATGGCAGTGTTTTTGCACTGCTGTGTCCTTATTAAAAGTCATTCATGCAGGAAGACATGATGGTAGGAGCAGAGCATCTGGCTGGGCATATTCTCAAACATCAGCATCCATGCAACCACTAGCAAAGATAAAGGAGGAGGTGACCTGCTCTCAGAGCAGCCACCCCTCAAAGGGGGCTTGGCCAACTGAACCCACAGATCTGCTCCAAAAACTTAAGAGAAACCAGGCAGATAAAACTCAGTTCAGGGAGTCAGGACCACGTGCTGGGTGAAGGCTGCCAGCCAGAGTCTTACCCCCACAAAAGCCATGCAAGGTAGATGGTACTGTCCATTTACAGATGGGACACTGACAGAGGTGAACTTATCGTATGAGGTCACAAAGCTAAAATGTGGAAGCACCAAGTGTCCTCTCAAGTTCATCTGAGTCTAGGCCCACACATTGTCCCAGGTTACATAATACAGAGGTTCCCAGAAAGATGAGAACAAAACACATGAAGTTGGGCAGCAGACATTTGCCTAGAAACATGTACAGCTAGGCAACTGTTGTCTTTAAAAAAGAAAACCACACTCCACCACTTTTTACTTTTTAATCAAAACCCAACCACCTTTCTTGAGGGGGTAGGGGTAACTGGCTGAAAAGAAGGAGAGGGACCCTCCTGGGGTGGTGAAAACACTCTACACGGAGGACTGTGGTTACAGGGCTGTGTGTGCACCCAAAACAGTCAAACTGTACCTGTGAGATCTGTGCATTTCACTGCATATAAATTACACCTCAATTAAAAAGTGTGAGTGCAGATATGTACGTATCTAAATCTGTATCTATATATCGATTATGTCATATAAACCAAATTAAAATATAACACTAGTTATTTGGAATCCCAAATTCAACTAATTATTTAGCATCAGAGCAGGTAGAAAAGGGCTCTTAGTTCCAAATTCCCCAGTACAGTGTCCTTCAGTAAATTTTTCTCTGCCTTCAAGTAGCCATTAACTATCTCACAAATAAAGTGTTATGTCATTTTATTAATTTATTTTATTTTAAGAATTTTGTTTGTTTTTTATCCTCACCCAAGGACATTTTTGCATAGAGTGAGAGAGAGAGGAAGAGAGAGGGAGAGAATATTGACATGAGCGAGATACATTGATTGGTTGCCACCCACACGACCCCAACCGGGGCTGGGGACAAACTGCAACTGAGGTACGTGCCCTTAGCAGAAATCGAACCCAGGTCTCTCTGAACCGCGGGCCGATGCTCTAACTGCTGAGCCAAACCGGCCAGGGCTGTTTTAAGCATTTTTAACAGAATTCTAAAGTTAAAAAGAAAAATCTTTGCGAAATGCTGATCAAATTGTGGAGACTCTTCTAATACAAAAAAAAAAAAATCAAGGTATCAAATGAGTAAGTTCCTTTTACACAATGAACTTGTTTCTAAAGCACAAGTGAGCTGTGTGTCAAAACAAATAAACCCTGTGCCTATTAAGATCTCTGCATTATTTAAAACTTTCTATTGTCACAAGAACATGTTTAATAAAAGAGCTTATGAAAAGCAAAATTCAGAAAGTAGAGTTTCAGTTATTATTCTGCAAATTACCAATTTTGCTATCAGTGAAAGCAATTAAAAAATGTACAATAAAAACATTCCATAATTTCTCCAAATATCAACTACCTAAGAAATTTATTTTTCTTACATACCAGTAATAATTTCAAGTTGAAGGCAGGAGCTGTGGTAGAAAAAAATTTTAAATTCAGTTTTCCCATCAGATAGAAGAACAAGTTTTCTATGCTGGTGAGAAATGGGCACCATTAATTAATCCACTCAACAAGGATGGAAAAAATATATCCTCTCTCGTCCTCCTAAAAGACCATCCATAGTCCCAGGAAACAAGCCGAGTTTGCCTAGAAGCTTGGTGTCCTTGAGAATATTTAAGTTTCTCCTGGTTTGCTAAAGAGAAATATCTTTAGCCCTGTCAAGCAAGCAGTGAGCTCCTTGATTGTACCTTAAAGGGAATGAGAATGTTTCGGCTCATTTGCATTTTAAAGGGTACTCTTTCATGATCTTTCACACTTGTAATAGACGTCTAAACCGTTAAATTACTATTTCTTTTCTCAGCCTGAAAGTCGATGCAGACGAAGAGCATGGCCTCTCCCATTGTTCTTTACCCTAAGTCGGTCCCTGAACAATACTGACAGCTGCTATCAAACCGGGCTGCATTTACTCCTCGTGCAGCTGCTGCTTGTAGGAACAGACAGCCTCCCGGAGCCTCCTCCCCTCTGGGGAGACAGGTTGACACACTGCATGTTCAATGAAGGGGTTCAAAGGTCCACTGAATTGTCAACCCAATTTTCTGCTACTTTGATTTTCCAGGACGTACACAATTCCTTTCAAGCAAAAATCAAGCATATGCCAGAGCATGAAACTTGTGGTTCGGGATAATTATTGATCACTACAAACTTTTAAAAAGCCTGCTGACAAAAATTAATATACTGATTCAAAAATTACAATGATAAAAACCACACATGCCAGTATGCTGAAAACATGCAATTGGCGTTAAGTCCTGTGCTTGGGCCCAATGCACTGAGAGTTGTGTTACTGTTGCTAGCTAGCAGAGTTAATCTGCCTTTCTAATCTCAACAACATGTTTCCTGGACTAAAGCCATTCATAAAATTAGTGATTCATCTGCCCTTCTAAAACCACCTACTATTTTTATTTTCTGATTCCGCTCAAAATGAGTATTACCTATAAACATCTGGTTGATACAATTTCCTCCTTTCTAATGTGTCGGACTGGGCAGTGCCTTTGAGAATTTAAAAATGCAAGTTTTACCATCAAGAAATGATATGTAAAAATCGGAAAACAAACGTGTTACACAAAGTTTAACTGGGTAATTGAGAACTGCTTTGCATATGTTTTCTTTTAATCAAAACAGGCTTTTCCATCCTTATTCATTAGGGTTAAAAAATTCTGTGCTCAAGCTACAAGTACAATTTGCTATTAGTCTTTGCTAATCAAACACGGTACATGCAAAAGTACCAGTGAATATTTGATTTGATCTCTGAAATAAAGCAATTCATTACACAAGAAAAGGATACAGAAGGCAGTAGACAAATGCAGATGTAATTGTGTTTTTTGTTGAATGTGATTAGAGAGCCCACTAAGTAACAGTCAAAAATGTGATACTAAGGGGGAGAAATGCAGAGCCTGGACCTGGGGGGAGGAGAAGGGGGACTGTTTATGCAGAGCTAAGCTGTCAAGTGTAATAAAGCAGCTCGAATAAAATTTAAGCTGAACATCCACTGAAGCTCCCAATTTCAGGGAGGAAAAAGCTATTAAAAGGAAATGAAGGTCACCCTCCCAGTTTATTTCACCTAATTGACTGCCAATAGCTAACCACAGGCAACCCGACTGCAGATCTGCAATTGAGAAATTGATGAAAGGAGAGTTTTCAAGCTGAGGCTCATTCTTTAATCCTCCTTGGCTCTTATGTTTTTTCTCCATCTCCAGTTGGGACGTAATTTTAAACCCTGATGGATTAACTGGTTCCATTGTCTGTGGCCGTTATTGGACTATGGCACTCTAATCCCTACAGCAGCATGTCTAATTATCATTACAAAGTGTCTGAGGGAACTATAAAGACCAGCAGGGCATCTTCTCACAAGCAATTAACATAAATTGATAAATGAGTGATTTGAATGTGCTCAAGGCACTCACATATGAATAAAATCAGAAAGGATGGTCCCTTGTTTCAGCTACTTCTTTCACTTGGTCTGGAAGGGCAGAAAACCTGAGAACCATTCTGGACCCTGAAGTGGGGAGGATGAACTCATGCAGGGGATGGACCACAGGGTTCACCAGGCTCATTAATGAAAAGCAATGACTTGTGATTGACAACCAGTCGCCAGAGAGGAGCACTAACTGAGAGCCACACAGGAGAGCAGAAACCTAGTGGAAGGCTAGAGGGCACTAGGGCAGACAATTATCACTTCTTCAACAGCAAGAGAATTCTTTTCATTGGGGTGCCACTTAAAACTTCATGAAATAGGCACAAGAAAGAGAAAGACCAAACAATTATAAAGGTTCTGATACCCTAGGAAAACTAAAGGCAAAAGCAAAGATAACTAAATTAAATGGTCATTATAAGATGCGTCATGACTTCACTGTGATCTAAAGTTATAGGACAAAATGCAGAAGAGTTTAAAACTGTAACCTAAAGTTTTTTTGTTTTTTTTACTTGACTACTGGAGCAAAGGTGGTTAAGTGTCACAGGATAAACAACATTTGTTTTCCCATTAAAAAGCAGACTGAGCTCTGGCTGGATTTGCTCATTGGTTAGAGTGCCGGCCTTCAGACCAAAGGGTCTCTTGGGTTCGGCCCAGTCAGGGCATGTACCTTGGTTACAGATTTGATCCCTGGCTCCGGTCAGGGTCATGCAGGAGGCAACCAGCTGATGTGTTTCTCTCACATCAATGTTTCTCTTTCTTTCTCTTTATCTCTCTCTCTCTCTCTCTCTCTCTCCTTTCCACGCTCTAAAAATCAATAGAAAAAGATCCTTGGGTGAGGATTAACAACAACAAAAAAAGTAGATTGATTTTTCTCCTCCTCCTAAAAATGTTCCTCCTATCACTTCCCTTATGGCTAATCTCTCTTCCCCTACACACCTCAGCATTCTTGAAGCCCAGCCCCTTCCCCCACCCACCCTTATCAAAGAGGGCAATGTTAAGCTACACAATATATATAGATAGATAGATAGATTAAGCCATCAAATAAATAAGAAATGAAAGCTGGTTATACACACTGTAGGAGGTAGACCTGGTAGGCCACGTACCCCGATGATGGCATTCAACTCTGCCATGGTCACCTGTTTGGCACGTTCGACAGCCTGCGCCACCTGTTGTTGATGCTTTGAAAACAATGAGAAGAAAGTGTAAGCAAGGCAGCCAAGAACTTCACGTACCTTCCAATGATAACAACAAAAAGATCAGCGCCACATGCAGTGCAGGCTGAAGTATCACATGGATTTATATGCAAAGTTTCTCGAGCACATGTTACTGCACAGAACACATGCAGAGAAGGAAAAGAAGACAGGACAGTGCTTCCCTTATTTCTGACCAACACCAGTCACCACTTAACTTCTGATGGAAAAATTAGGCTCAGAAAGGTAGAAAGTCAAAAGGGACATCAAAAATGGTAACCTGAGGCTTCAGAAAATAAATAGTATGGGATTTGGAAGATCACCCTGGTTATAGAAGGGGTTCTGAGAAGTTTGAGGAGGTAAATAATACAGCCATTTTGAAAGGCCCATTTCGATACTTTAAACATTAAATCTTCTATCACTTCTCTGATCCACAAATCTCAACCCACAGGTAATTTTAGAAACTCTGGGAATTCCTCTACTTCTTTAGCCTTTAGATCAGCGGTTCTCAACCTGTGGGTCGCAACTCCTTTGGGGGTCGAATGACCCTTTCACAGGGGTCACCTAAGACATATCAGTAGCAAAATTACAGTTATGAAGTAGCAACAAAAATAATTTTATGGTTGGGGGTCACCACAACATGAGGAACTATATTAAAGGGTCGTGGCATTAGCAAGGTTGAGAACCACTGCTTTAGATGGTTCACTCTTCACAGGGAGAGAAAAGACCCCCCTCCCTTAGTTCACAGGCTGGGAACACTCTGCAAACCTCCCAACTTCCACCCACAAATAAAAACAAAGCCACTGTGCTTTGGGAGGCATGAGACAGACTGTAGCAGAGACCAGAATCACCAAAGTCTAACATGACTGAAAGGCCAACAAATCTAACATCAGTGAATGTCATGCTGAAGAGCTGCCGTGGCAGCAGAGTGGGCGCGATGCGGCATGGAGCAGCAGATGCCAGCTAGTACAGACACCCAGTACTTCAGCTCCACGTCCATCAGGCTTTTCACTCTGTCTCAAGATACATGCGTCCTGTACACACTTAAAACAGTTTAGCATTTATGAGTTTGTATCCAAAAGTAAGGTAAACTTTAAAGCCAAACTAAAACATACCAGTTTTGAGTCAATCTCATAGATTACTCATATAAGGAGCTTTTCCTCTCAAAATATTAAAGTTAAGCCTCTGTGGCTTCATAACTTAATGAAATGGTTTATATGTGTATATGACTCCATAAATTAATATGAACACTTATTTCATCCTTAAGAGTGCTGGCATCCACTCTCTCCATGGACAGCATTAAGTCAACCATTATACAAGCACAAATAAAATACCTGCTTCCATGGTCAAGTCAACCCTGATGGAACCATTTTAAAAATTCAGAATAAGAAAAGCTCTCTAGAGAAAGGACACTTGGAATCATCAGTAAGCTATTAAGCTTATACTCCTCAAAAAAAAGAAAGAAGAAAAGCTTTATGTTTGATAGTCATTTTGCAGTTTTCCAAAGAAAAAAATAATCTGAGGTTGAGCTATTGCTATTTCTACAGTGTGCCCTCAGATCTGTTAGATGGCATAGCAGGGGGTTCACACACCACAGCTGTAACAGATGTTCTTCACACTTGTTCCTTGTGATAAAATTAACATCTTAAAACTAGCTAATTTGCAAACAGAGAAGCAACATAATTGCACTTTAACAGCTGAACAGTTTTACTTACTTCCTGAGACAGAAATGGGATGACTTGTGCACAAATCGTATTCAATCTCTTGGCGATTTCAGTCTATAAAGACAAAGCCATATAAATGTTTAGTATACTTACTTCATAATCAGTTCAGAAAGATAAAACTTCATACCCAACACTTTAGCCCTCCACTACCTCACTCTTGAGGGCATAAAACTGCTTTCCCAGGCTACCTTACTAATATTTATCTCAAGATAAACAGTAGATATTAATCCCACTTGCAAAGTAAGACATAACTGCACGCTTTATTGGTCATTTAAATAAGAGATAATGAGCACTTTAATTGAATTGGAAAATCTCGTGGTTTAAGGCTATATAATCATTTAACCTGGTGATTGCAAACCCCTTTGTATACTTATTCAATTATGGCGTACCATGGCACATTTATGTAGTTACACCAAGTTCATTCAAACTAGTATCACAAACCAGGGGAGCAGGAGCACCATCAAAGCAGAGTAGCTTTAAAGACAAGGTCTAGTGTGAGAGGAGAAGAAGCCTACGGACCTCTTAAACTCATCCCAACTCCTGCACAACTGAAACAGTATTTTAATGTTAGTAGCCTTCACTAAGTCTCAAAATTTCAAACAAGCCAAGAAAACAAGGCTGAAACTGAATGCAACTCCAGAGGGACAGTCAAGTCAAGACATTCTGAGTATCTGTCAAGTTTCACCACAATTCAGCATCAAATGTGAAGACCTCAGCAACAGGGCCTACAGTGCAGCTGAACACAACAAAACATGTCCCGAGTGTCTGCGGCCCAGGCTGTTCTCAAAAAGGTAGGAAAAGTTTCTGCTTAGCTCCAGATCCACAGATCCTTCTGCTACAAGAGACAAACTGGCAAGGGAAGACATAAAGGTGCCCTGCTTCCAGCACAGGATAGGCTCCACCTGCCTGACCCATCTCCAACACCCTCCAGCAATGCAAAGCAGCTCTGCCTTCCTCTAACTCTGAAGAACCAGTTCTGCCTTTATAAAAAAAGTTGTCTAAAAAGAGTCCCAGTGTTGACCTTATTTATTTAATCGTTTTCTGTCAATGCTTACAAATGCTGACTCTGTTAGTGAATTAGGTAATGAAAAGGATCATGAGAAGAAAATTATAAAGCACACAGCCACGCCCTTGAGAATTAGGGAATGGAATAAGCAAGATAAAGTAGAAAACTCAGAAACCATAAAAATCAAGTATATAAAAAAAGAGCTGCCCTTTGTCCTCTATGATGATTCCAGTTAACTGAGCAACAAGGGCTCTGGTTTGGTGGGACTGGATTTAGACCAACCCAACTCACTTCTCCCTGACCACCAATGAGATAGGGTTCCAGCCCAGGCCCTAGAAGAAATGTAGTTCTAGAAGGGGAAATGACTGGTATAGAAAGCAAACCCATGACCTTGCTTTAACCAGCAGGGCAAACAGATATATGGGAAAAGAGTGCAGCTGTACCAGGTGCAAAAACAGAACTGGGCAGCCCCACCCAATTCATCTGATCACAGCCACTCAGTCAAGCTAACTCAAGGTCAGAGCTGTCCTCGAAAGCATGAGCAGGCTTCCCTTTCCTTTGCAACAGGGTTCTGCACTATATATTTGGGTATATGTAAGGGAGTAGGGATGGCCCTCATGGACTCTTGAATCTTTGCCCCCCACTTCCTATCTACCATACATCACAACAGCATTCTGCACTTTCCCCTTCTCCAAAATTCACACTTAATGTTTCCCAATCTTAAAAATGATTAATGCTCACTTTAAGTTCACCCAGATATATGCATAGAAATATAAAAAAAAAAGTTAGAATAAGTCTAGGTCTATCATCCAGGGGTAACCCTGAGTAACATTCTGGTGGTTCTGGAGAGCATCATTCAAGGCACTCACAAGCCCAGAGTGGAAAGAGAGACTTTTATACCAAGGGGCCCCATTATATATACTGCTGTTCTCTAATTTGTTATCTCCACTCAAAAATGTCTCAGGGACACCCTCCCACTCAGTAAATACAGATAGGAATGAGGACATTACCGATTAAGCACCTGGTATCAGTGGATATTTATGTTTCGTCTAATTTGCCACATTTACAAATTCTGTGACAGACAGCCCTCTACACAGATCTGTAAAAGAAACCCTTGGAAGTGAAACTGCTAGGTCAAAGAGTATGAACATTTTAAATTGGAATGCACATTGATAAACTGCCCAGCAGAAAAGCTTTATGCTATCGTTAGTCTATAAGGGTGCATGCTCTCCTACAGTGTCAATATTGGGTTTTGTTGACCTTTTAAAAAATCTTTATCCATCTAATAAATTAAAAAATAATCTCACTTTTATTTGCACCACTCAGATTCTTCCTGAAATTAAACATCGTTTCATTTATTGATTAACCCACTGTATTTTTTCACTTCTGTTTTTCCTTTGGTATTTATTCATCATTGCCTTTTGTAGTAGTTCTTCCCATATGACAAATATTGACTCCTTTCCCTAGTTTTTCCAGCTTGCCATCTGTCTTCAAACCTTACTTACTATGGATTTTTTTGCTGTGCATAATTAAGTTTTTATGTGGTCAAACTAAAGAATACTGTTTTGCCCTGGCCTGTTTGGTTCAGTAGTTAGAACGTCGGCCTGCAGACCAGAAAGTCCCGGGTTCGATTCCCACTAAGGGCATATACCTCGGTTGCAGTTTGTCCCCGGCCCTGGTTGGGTCGTGCAGGTGGCAGCCACTCGATGTGTCCCTTTCACATCGATGTTTCTCTCTCCCCGCGCCCCCACTCTATCTGAACAAAAAATGGGAAAATGTCCTCAGGTGAGGATAAAAAAAAAAAAATGATCTATTTAATTAATAATAAATAATATGTGTTATTACATAGAATGGGTTTAAGGCAGAACTGATTTTAACTGTCAGGGGACACTTAAGACCTGATATGAATGAAATTAACTTGTAAACTTTTAATAATATTAGGTACTAAAAACAAAAGAAGTACAGATTAAAGCACAGATAATATAAATCGGGTTAGAGTAGGTAAGACAGAAACAGGAGGAAGAAGGTTAAAGACCAAAGCTCGAATTGAATAAGAAACATCAAAAACCATACCATCTTTCCTAGGAATTCTAAATAAACGGTCTGGAGAGGAAATAGAAAGAGAACAGAGGAGGACCTTGATCCCAGCTGTCTCTTTCCTCTGCCAGGTCTGTAAACCCTCATCTTAAGCTACCCTCTAAAAAGTGAGCTTGATTTTGAGCAAGGAAGCCTGACATCAAGTCTCACCTCTGGATTATACCAGGAAATTCTCTGAGCTGCCCTGACTTCTCCATGAGGAGAGTTCTTACCTTTAGGCAGTATGAGGGTGGATCCACTTTTCTCCTTGACAGTGCGCTTTCTTTGTGAGTTCTAAAACATCACCATCACCCCAGAAGGGTTTCATAAATGTTTTTCCCAGCCCTTAAAAAAGTCTGAAAGGTAGCATAAAACTCAACAATAATTCTTAAGTCTCATCTCGTTTCAATACAAGACCTTTGACTGAACACAAATTAACAAGTAGTGTTTTCCACCCATGCTTCTATTCCTGACCAGAGTTTGCAAGCAGGTTAAACTGGATATTTGACCCTGCTTCAACAGGTATTAAGAAGGTTCCATAAGCTTTGCAGACTACCTTCTACCTCTTCCAAGGGGTAGACAACTCCAGTGAAAACAAACTACAGGCTAACTTTTTTTTCCACCTGGATGTCATTTTCCCGATGAAAGCTGAAGACATATTCAGTATCTGCTAATAGTCATAAAAGCTTATAAATAAACTTACCCTGTGCCTGTATTTCTGACACCCCCATATAAGTCACAACATTAAGTCAGTGTTCAAGAGCAATGCCCAAACCAGATTTGCATGGTACCTTTGTGCCCAGAAACTTAACCAGCTGGGTAAAGGCCCCAGCATCAAGCCTTACCATCATGGCTAGCTTCCACCCACTGAGGCAACAGAAAGCAGGTATCCAGATTATCTGTACAGAACCATCTTTTAGTCTCCTTGCCAATGCCAACTCCCCTCACAGACTTGCTTATGATAATAGACCTGGCCCTCATAATCCAAAAACTTGGGTTTGCATTTCAGCAAACCAGTTCTAGGTGTCCTTAAACCACTTGAACAGCTTGACCACAGGTCTTACCATCAATCTACTTCAGGGTTTCATCAAAATCAAGTAAACAAATATATGAACTACAGCTGAACTATTACAAAGAGCTGTTCTCTTAACCCACTCCTCCTTCAGGACCTACCTCACATCCACATGGAAGCCTTTCCCCAGGGGCAACAGAAGATAAACCCTTCTCTTGGCTCTTGGAGATCCTCCACAGCATGTGCTGTCCTTGGGTGCACTACGTCCACAGGTTTAAACAGCTTCCATGCAGATTCTTAGCAGCTTCCAGCACACAAGTCTTCTCCACACAAGAAGGTGGGAAGCATGAGAACCAGACCCCTAACCACTTTGATACAACTCCTCTCTGCATCCTCCGCCACTAACACTGTCCACAGGGCACAGCCAACATGCTTTTAAGGAACGGTTCACTGTCGAAAACAGAATCCCCTCGCCCCCCAATGATCAAGAAGCAACCAGACAAACTGTTACTGAAAACAGCATTCGAAGAAGGCTGTTTTCAGTAACAAATCACATCTTATGTTGAAAAACAAAATTCAACTGCGTAAATATGAAGATCTAATTGGCTTATTCAATGAGTCATGAATCAGACAGTATCCAATCTAGCAAACAGAAAGGAGCTCCAAAGAGCTGTCCAAAAGGAAAGGTAGAAAGGGGGTGGAAAAAGAAAATTATTAGCAAAGAATGTACTGTTTCAGGTAAGATCACCCACCTAAGGGGAATGAGGGGTGCTTATCAGTTGGATTACCTGACTACTGCTGCTGCTCAGGTAATTCCAGGTTGACTGGTTAAAGGTTACATTGCTGGGAAAGGCTAAAAACTGCAATTAGGTTAGGTAATAAATCTTGGTTTGCCAATGTGGGGCTTAGCATACGTGACTCCATTTTGGGCCTGTTTCTTTTTAACACTTAGTAGGTGCA